AAAATACACTATTGTAACACGTGGTAATGAAATGTAGTGCACAGGCAAATTCACAACTCCCGTAATTCGCCTAATTCTTGGCTGACATCGTAAATATCTGCTCGCCACAATATATTGATTACACCAGAACGTAATGCTATCCCAGATTCGCCCACTCACACTAATCAAACAAGTCCGTATTCAAATTATGACTTTTTCTTCTATATATATCAGAATGATGATTAACTGAAATAAAACACAACTAAAATAATAATTACATTTATGGCGGTAACAATACATGACTGGCAGCTTTCAATTATTAAAAAATATGTGCACAAAAACATGTAACTGAATATATCTGATGCTGCATTGTTAAATTAAAGGGTCGTTGTCGTCGTGATACGCATGCGCGAGATATGAGGGTCTCATATAAACAAAGATGACGACTTTGACTGTTGCGCAGATTGACGAGTACAAACTGAGACGTTGCCTGCTTGAAGCTTTAAATAAGTATTTTTAGGTGCTTGGAAGATATCGAAGGAGTCACCGGTGGTAATTAGTGCATGTCGTGCCCAGGTCAAATCTCATCGTGTGGTATCCATTAGAAGAGCGCATTGGATTGTGGGTAAATTAGTGTTTATCAACACAAATGTCGCACATGTGCAGCGCGACGACCACCGCCCTTTAGTATATACACTTACTCTTCAAACGTAATATCGATATGCATATACAGAAGAAGATCTCTGGGAAATAGATGCTTACATAGTACACTAAACAATGGCTCTTCTGAAACCAACAGGTTTTCACAGATAAACACCCAATTTAGTCCATACTGTGCTTTCATCTATCTTGCTTATAGAGAAGTTGGTTACATCCTGAGTGAAGGCAATGGGCCAATACGCAGTGTGCGCTGTATTTATACCATGACAACAAACAACTATACAGTACAAAGAACGTGTATGACGTCACTGCACACGCCCTGTTTCTATACCTTCCTTGGCAATCAGTTCTCAGTAAAACGATTTGTAACTGTACAAGCCGGTAGGCTGGTTGGCGATCCGCTCCGCTCAAAAACAAGCACCATGTTTTTGGCTGTTTCCAGACACACACACACACACACACACACACACACACACACACACAAAACGACAAAAGTGATTATAAGGGCAATCCTAGCGGAGCGGATCGCCAACAATACAACAGTTGGTTGAAATCACACAGCTGACCAAGCAGTTTTTAATTTCAGATAAGAACTGACATCAACACTATTAATAGTTTTCACCAATAAAACTGGGTGGCACTATTAACCTGATGGTTTTATCTAAACATAAATAAATATAATATAGCATAGCAAAGCTGTAAATGTAAATTTAAATAGTATTGAAATACACTTAATGACGATTTGGCCATGACAGGGGTGGTAATCCTTGGTACAATCTATCTGAATCATAAACCTATTCAGATATATCCCTAACTCTACTACAGCAGAGTGTGCGTTAATACTCAGCGATGTTAGACTAATCGAAGATTTTTGATAAATTTGAAAGTTTCCAAACTAAGTAAACTTAAAAAATCCATCACTGACGTTGATAAATACAGTCTACGTACCGAGCTCCAACTTTGATATACTGTGTTTAGATGGGCCTCACTGAAATATTTATCCAACGGCCGTCGTCATAGCTGAAAAGCAAGTGAGTGTAATAATGTTGCTGAAGACATAGAAGACGCATTTGTACTGACAGGTTTAGTGAAGAATCCAGATTTAGGCCCACTTTATATGTCTGAAAGTAAAATTCGCCAGAACGTCTAGAAGTCTGATTCACCAGAAGGTATCTACTTATCGTAGCTATTCTGTGGATAATTTGCAATTTCCTCAGTCATCATCGAATTGTGTTTCTCGAGGTCATCTAGATACCAAGAAAAACTTCTAAATGTGTTTGATTTTCAAAACAACATAAGCGACTATAGAGGCGTCCCAAGCTCTAAGATGGGGGAGGGGTCACATTAACATTCAAACCTTGGATCCGACTCTGATGGTAACCACGACCAAGGAAATAAGTCCTTTACCCAATACTGGTATATCTATTAATAAGCACTCAACCACAAAACTATTAAAAACACCCACACTATTTGGTCTTATATAACGACAATGTAAAGGGCGGTGGTCGTCGTGCCGCGTCCTGTTCGATATGGGACTCATAGCGACGTATACAACGCGTGTAAAATACATTGTTTATTTACATGAAATTCGAACACGTGCTGTGCTACGACCACCGCGCTTTAACTGATAGTAATACCACTTTTTGGCTCGTCGCATTTGTTCCAACAGTCCGTTAAACAGCCTGGTTTTCATTC